TATATATACAGGCCTATGCAGTACTTTTTGTTTTTATATGCAAGTACAGTAAAATAAATAAAATAAAATAAAATATTTTATACATACCAAGTATCATCATAACACTGTGTAGAGCTAAATTTAGGATATAATTATATGTCATCGAATGGAGTTATACAGAAATTAAATTGAGTTTATCCGTGGGAAGCTTAAAATACATGTTATGTGGTGATAAATATTATTAAGTGCATATATTTCATTAGTAAGGAAATTTTAATCACAAAGTCATCTTATCAAAGTGCTAAAAAAAAAACTCCCCCAAAAAAATTTGAATAAATTTAAACATGACCTAGAAATTTTAAAGTAGAAATAAAAAAAAAAATTAGTTGTGCTTAAAGGAGAAGAAATAGGTTTTCTTAATTATACTTACAGGAATAGCTTGGGTTATGCTGTACCATAAACTCATGTTACACAAGCCTAGAGCGGATTAAAAATTTCGCATTATTCTGAACAATAAAACAATGCAGATGTTAAGATCCAGACAAGTATGCCTTCGCCCCAGACAAGTTCTTTGTCCAGAGGGCTAGTCCTACAATAGTACTAATGCAATATGAAATGCCATAGGGTGTGCTATATCCCAGTCCCTATGTGAAAGTGCTCTTCCACTGCCAACAAAAGTATTCATTAGTAAACCTAGCATGAATGCTAAAAAGATAAAGTGTAAAAAAAATTAACATTAAAAAAATAAACAAAGGAAAAACTAAGTATTGATTTTTAAGTCATAAAATTTTCTCAATAGTACTTGACCTACAAAAAAACTATTAATGAAATTCATCGTGTAATATTGAACTTGTTAATAACTAGGTCATTTGTTATAATACCTGATGAATAAGCGTTTGTATGTTAAAAATTCAAACCAAAGAGTATAGAAAGTCTGACAAAGTCTGACCAAAGTCTGACAGCCCTGATTTTTCATGCATGTAATGAAACAGAAAAAAAAAAAAAAAAGAACTAACACGCTATAGAGAACGCCCTATTTGAATTTGATTAGAGTTCTAAATTTGAACATGTTTGTACAGATGTAGTGCACACATTTGATACAAACGACTTTTATGTTCTTTTGAAGGACGTTCATAGTAGTAATTTTCGAGATAGGACAGTCGAACCTCTCGTCATTCTATACCCTTTTGTCAAATCCATGATATGCGAAGATCTACATTACAGCGGCGTTGTATAACTCCAAGCTATGGCTTATGTTGTTTTTATTTAGGTAATTTGAATATTTTATTACACTGCCCCAGCCAGGAACAAAATTTCTGCATATTTTTTTCCATGTATAATTGCATGGGTTTACAACTCATAAACATTCATTATATTTATCAATAGGCTAATATTGGCTAGACACAAAAAAACCCTAAACAATTAAAACCACCTACATGATGATGAAAATTAACCTAGAAAATAATGAGCAAAAATCTATCTATAATATCATATTTCACATTTCAAAATCATTTAAAAAAATGATTATGGAAATTGGTCGAACTGCTGCATTGATGTAACCGCAACGGGAAAGTATAATTGATTTTAATAATAGCATTCTTTTTTGGAATCGATAAAGATGATAAATATGGAGGAAGTTGGGAATTCAGGTTAATGGGAGGACATGTTTTGTTGGTATATAATAATAATACAGCACACAGAGTGCAAGGACCTGTCTATGCAGGTTACTATTATAGGTTACTAAGAGCCAAATCACACTTTATAGTTTACGTGTCTGCTCAGGGCAACCTTTTTTAAGTGTTAAATTAAAAGTCAGCCCAAAGATGACCTAAATTTACCGGACCTGGGCCCCGCAATGCGGGACCTGGGCCGACTCATCTTCATATCTGATCGTAAACTGAACCTAGGTAGCCAATCTTATACCATAACACTTCACACAAAACCCAGTGTAAAGGAGGAAGTGTGAACGTTTGCAGAACGAATCTGAGCCGACTTAAAATACTAACCACGAATGGAAGATCATTTTGGGTTGACTGTAGTTACGGCGGCGCTGGGCCGATATAATAAGTGTGATTGGGCTCTAAGCCTTTGACGAAAGGCATTTTTTAGAGGACATATGGAGTGGCAAAAGAGTAAACAAAGTATTTGTCTTAAAGTCAAGTAGTGGTTTATATTTTTTAAACATTTTATATTTCATTTTGTTAATATGTTTACTATTGTGTAATACCCTGTACGAATACTTGCCCTTAATGGATCATTAAAAATTAAAGTAGTTACCATATTGTCTCTAATAAACGCCCAGGGGGCGTTGTATTTTTTCAAGGGGGGAGGGGTGTTTATTAGAGGTGAATTGTAAAATCAAAAATTACCTAAACAAGCTGCTTTAAACGGTCAATAAGTTCTTTATTTGTAGAGGAACAAGTTAATGTGCAGGGTATCTCCAGGCCTCCTATTTTGCTGTTCCTTCGTTTGTTGCTGGTTATTTGAACATCAATAATTCCTTGTGTTTCAAAAAGAAATGAAATATCTTCGAGTTCTCTTGGGGTAAATGTCTGATGATGCAGCGCGGTGCTTCTCCTTTCACAACAGCAATCGCGTGCTTGTCAAAAACACAACCGCACGCAAAACATCTGCCCTCAACTATAAGAAACATTCTCACTACGGTATAAACTTCATTGACCAGACACCTTGAATCAAATCAGCGTCGAACACGCGACACATTAACAATACACGATTACCCGTCGTTTGCAGCTTACCCTGTTTTTACAAGGCTAACGAAATACCATGAGAGAAACA